TATAAGTGTAATTTCAGTATCAGTTATCCTTGCCATATCTCAATGAACAAAAGATCTATATTAAAATCCAGAGTAAAACACCTTATCTGTGATTTTGTACATACTTCTGCTCACTCAGTGAACACAATACTTACATTATACAGTAAAGAATACTTAGAAAGCAATGACATATTATTCTGGTTCACAACTTCAAGTGTTCAGGAAATACAGTATCTCCCTAATATTTTAAATTTTTAAGTCTTCTGTTTTACTACTTCCAATAAATTTAAAAAGATGTAGGTACAGGAGATATAGTGGTCTACAGGGTCCACAATCTGTCTCATATTTTTCATGCCCTATAATCCAGCTCCAATACATTCTGCAAGAAATATGACCTTGGACAAGTTCCTCAACCTCCCTGTGCTTCAGATTTATCAACTATAAAACTGGAGTAATAGGTCTGTTTTGAGAATAGATTTAATACATATTAAGCCCTGATTTCAAACACTGCTTGGCCAGTTATGCTCATTCCCTTCTCCCCTTCAGAAAAAAAATTTCTCTATCATGGTTCATATCTAAAACCAACAGTTGAAAAAGACAGATTTGTATGAAGCTCTAAGAATCATAGTAAGAAATGATAGTAAGAAAAGCTTAATGGGGAGGAAAAAAGAGAGAGAAAAAAGTCTTTCTTAGCACTTCATTTTTTTTCTCATTAATGTTTCTGGAAAGCATGAGAATGTGGAAAACTGACCATGCAAATCCTAATGACTCAAGCATCACAGAGAAATTTCATGGGTCATAAGTACTACTATATCATCACTTAAGACTTCAGAAATAGGATGCATAATAATCTTGATGACAGACATTAATAATAGACTAGCACAGACAGGCTAAAAGGAGGAAAAACAAGACAGTAACTATGCCCAACTTGGCAAACAGTGGATACCTTGACATAAGATGGAAGTTTCCCCTACCTCTGAGATGCTAGAGTACACTCACAATTTAGCAAACAATTCCAAGAGGGTTCATAAGCCAGAGAGAAGAGATCTTTTACCAATAAGCACTACCAAGCCCGGCTGGGCTTCAAGCCCTAGAACTGCGCTGCTAATGCAAACCAATATACAAATGACTATTCAGCACTTGTAAATGTGACCAGACAACGCCGAGGTGTACTCTAAGTACAGAATGCATATTAGATTTCAAAGACTTAGTTAAAAAAAAAGAAAAGAAAAGAAAATACCTCGTTCATATCACCTTTATATGTAATTACATGCTGAAATAGATATATTAAATATATTAAAATTAATTTCACTTTTTTAAAAACTTTCTTTAATGTGCCTACTACCAGATTTAAAAACACATATGCGTGCTTCCCTGGTGGCACAGTGGTTGAGAGTCCGCCTGCCGATGCAGGGGACATGGGTTCATGCCCCGGTCTGGGAAGATCCCATATGCCGCAGAGCAGCTAGGCCCGTGAGCCATGGCCGCTGAGGCTGAGCCTGCGTGTCCGGAGCCTGTGCTACGCAACGGGAGAGGCCACAACAGTGAGAGGCCCGCATACCGCAAAAAAAAAAAAAAAAAAAAAAAAAAACCCAAAAAAAAAAACCACATATGCGACTCACATTATATTTCGACTCACATTATACTTCTATTAGACAGTGCTACCTTAGAAGACAAGAAGAAAGGAACTGAGTCCTTAGAAAACATAACAGTGATAGCTCTTAGCTTCCCTAGAAGTTCAGGTTTTCAGAGGTATTGAGGAACCCAACAAAGGACATCCTAAAGCTATATAAAATGGCTACTAATATGCCACCTTAAATCTTGTGGTGCTTATATTTAATTAAAATGGAGATAAAGAAACTGTGTAAAAGCCACAGGTGTGGCAGAAGATAAACATAGCTTTATGGTAAAATTTAAAGTATAGTCTTTCATTTACTGCCAAAAATAAAACAAAAAAACCTTGACTGACTTCTTTAGTGATGCTCCTAAGGTATTATTTTAATTATAAGTGTAAAGGCTCTGGAGGAAGCAATACCATCCAAAAGAACTTTCTGTGATGATAGAAATATTCTCTACCTACACTACCCAATACAATAGCTAGCAGTCATAAGAGCATTTGAAATGTGGTCTGCACAACTGAGGAACTGAATTTTTATTTTTTCAATTAATTGAAATTTAAATAGCTACAACTGGCTGGTGGTTACTATAATAACAGCAGAGTTCTAAATAAAAATGGCCAGGTTCCTGACCAATCACCATACTAAAGCCTGCAACTTCAGAGCTATTCACATACATAGGACTTCCAGTCAGCATTTTAGTGCCCCAAAGTCTTAAGAGTAGAAAAGGAGGTAATTCAGACATTCAGGATCTCAAAAATATTACTTCTTATGTACTTCAGGAAACTACAGGTAGATGGGCACTACCAAAACAGTAAGACAAAAAAAGAAAACATGAGATCCAGAAAATAAGGGATCCAACACAGACAAAAAGGCAAAGAGAATTCCCAAGATGACTGCTGTGAAACAGGCCTTATAGAACAAGAAGTCCAAACTGGACTTTATACTTCTGGTACATAGCCTAGGGGCAAATTACCAATAAGTACATAGATCAGGGTTCAGCAAACTTTATCTGTAAAGAGCCAGAGAAATATTTTAGGCTAAATATTTTAGGCTTTGTGGAGTCATCTGTCTCTTGTCACAACTATTCAATTCTGCTGTAGTGTGAAAGCAGGCATAAAATAATCCAAATGAAGGAACAGGGCTGTGTTACAATAAAAATTTTATTTACAGAAATAGGTAGCAGGCTATATTTGCCCTGTGGGGTGGTAGTTTACCAGCCCCTGACATAGATAATTAAGTGAAAAAAGAGATAATCATTAACACTGGGGAAAACAAAATTATAGAGAGGAAATGGAATGTAATCTTAATATACCAAATGGCTCACTGAAACTAATATTTATAAAGTTATAGTAATAGAAACAATAGGTATTGTTTTTACCAAATCTCATAACTATATTGGCAAGATAAGGGAAAAAAGAGAAGGAAGAGGTCAGAGAATATATAGGTATGCCAATGTCTAAGCATCTGGGGTAGTTAGATAGCTAAAGCATTAATAGAAAGTCAATAGATTAAATCCTGAATAACTGAAATAACAGAAAACTCAGGTATCAGCACAGTATTTGCTTATAAGTTTTTAAATACATAAATTAAAAGACAGTTAAAAGAATTAAAAGGGACTGCCTCTGAGGAGCACATCTAGTAGCTGGGCTCAGGATTATACCATTTCATTTTAAATCTTGGTAATCAGCTTGACTTCTTAAAACTATATAAATATATACAGTGAACACTGCTAATTGCCTACCTGATACTTTCCCCTTCCTCTAATTAACTGCCTACCTAGTATCTATTCTCCATTTCTTCTTACTAACCAGAGCCTTATTTTGCTCAGAGTGGCAATGTTCCCATATAAAAAAAATATTTCTCTCAGTAGTACAGCCAATTAAACATCAGCTAAAGTTTCCAGAAAAGAATCTACTTTCTGATCCAAGGGTCACCACTTCTCACTTCCTCCCTCCCTTCCTCCTCCTGCCTGGAATCCACTGTGAGTGAGGTTTGGAGATGCAACACTTACTGGGGTCATGAGGATAAAACCCAAAGGCTAAAGATGAAAGAGCAGAAAACTCGAGGGAACCTTAGTTTTGATGACATTATTGAACAGATTATCTACCTCCAGACTCCTTGCTATTGAGAAAAATCAATTCCTACATAAGCCAGGTAGTTAGGTTTTCTGTCATTTGCAACTGAATGCACTCCTAACTTGTATGATTAATTATTCTGTTGATAATAAAGGTTTATTTTAATTTTCAGAGAGAAAAAAATGAAAAGAGTCCTGATTTCTCCAGGCTTACCTGGTCATCCATTTCACTGAAACTAATAAGGGAAGTCTGAAAAAGTTTTGGGTGCGCATGAAAAAAGATGTGCACGTGATGTAAAAAAATGACATCTCAACAATGATTACAATCACAACCAATACTTCATATCCTCACATCTTTTAGGGAAAACTAATACATTTCCTTCATTTTCTCTTTTTCCCACATCCCATCTTACTCACCACTGTTTCATCTCTCTTGAAGTCTCACTAATTCAACAACTGCTTGGGACTAAATCTTCTTAACAGATCGTGCCTTATATTATTTAAATCAGAGAACTGTAGTAACCTAAAGCTTTTAAGACTACAGGTCTTAAAGTCTTCGGTGCATCTGTAATTATCCTACAAATTAAGTGTCCTAAGTTTGCCTAATTCAAAGTTGAAGAAAATTGAAAAACACCCCAAAAGTAAACATGTCTTATATAGAAAATTATAGATTTAAATTACTTTAACCAGAGCAAAAACAGAGGTTTGAGATTGAGAAGGATTACCTCAACCCAAAACATGACCACAGATCACCATCTAAAAACAAATATTAATACTGCTTAATTTTAACAGAGTACCATGACTGTATTTCCACTAGTACTAAAAAAGTATACTTCAGGGCTTCCCTGGTGGCGCAGTGGTTGAGAGTCCGCCTGCCAATGCAGGGGACACGGGTTCGTGCCCCGGTCCGGGAGGATCCCACATGCCGCGGAGCGGCTGGGGCCGTGAGCCATGGCCGCTGAGCCTGTGCTCCGCAACGGGAGAGGCCACAACAGTGAGAGGCCCGTGTACCGCCAAAAAAAAAAAAAAAAAAAAAAGTATACTTCAATGCATAAATCTCTGCTTTCATTCCACATTTTTTCTACCATCCCCAAGCAAAACTTAGGCCACTGTGTTGACACACAGCCTAACCTCACTGCAAGAAAATTATTTAAATGTGTAAAAGAAAGAATGAAGGGGTCAAAGAAAACTAAATACTTATAGTACTTTGCCAAACTTAACCTCCTGAATGTCTGCAAGATATCAGTTTATCACACATTTTCTATAAAGTCATTAAAATTAACAAGCCTAAAGAAATATCAAGTAAGAGTTTAAATAAGATAGCTTACCTTTTATTTATAGGTTTTTCATCTTTTTCATAAGGCTTTACAAACCACTTGCCAATACGTACAAAGTTCCGATTCATTAAACACCGTTCCAACAGATTGTGAACTGCTTTGAAAAGCAAAGTACGGCATTCATAGGAAAGTCCATTCTCCCACACTCCATCTTCCTCTTCTATAAAAGATATGAAAGAAACAAAAGGTAACACTGTGGCACTATATATACTTAGAGCTAAGTAAAAACTGTGATAGTTTAACCCCTAAACTCATAAACCCTACTTCACCTCAGAATAGTGAGCTATAGTCACTTCGGTATCTCTCTAGACATTAAAATATCAGGTTTCAAAGCTACTCCATAGAGAATAAAAGGCCAAAGTGCCATGTATTCTATTAAATTACCAGAAAATTATTTTTCCACCATATAAAAAGGCAACGATATACTGCAGACAGACTGATTTGGTTTCTGTATAAATGAAAAGGACATTTGTATAACCAAGGGAAATATTACACATTCTACACCTAAGATGCCAATTTCTAAGCTGGCTCACTTGTTAGTTACTTTACAAAACGGACCTTGCCAAAAAAACTAGACAGTTAATAATTAAACTCAAAATATTTTATGTCCATCAGCATTCTAATCCATGACTCAACTATAAAAATAAGTGATGGATAAAAAGGAAGCTTTTGGCAAAGAACCCAACAAGCAGTGCATTATCAGCCACCTTAGGTCTCATTACAACCAAATGATTCCCATGTTTACTATTCAGTATAGGATTCTCTACTTGGGGGGAGAAACTTAAAAATTCAAAGACAAATTTTAAATGGCACATTTGATATAAAGTTATAGCAATCTTCACTAACTATACAGCCTCAATTTTTCCAGCAAATCTATTAACCACCCAAATGAAGTTACCAAAACAAAAAAACCAACAACAAAAAAAATGCAGTCAGGGCTTCCCTGGTGGCGCAGTGGTTGAGAGTCCACCTGCCGATGCAGGGGACATGGGTTCGTACCCCGGTGCAGGAAGAACCCACATGCCACGGAGTGGCTAGGCCCGTGAGCCATGGCCGCTGAGCCTGCGCTCAGCAACGGGAGAGGCCACAACAGTGAGAGGCCCTCGTACCGCGCGCACAAAAAAAAAAATGCAGTCATTTTGATATGAGTATGGATGTAGTTCAGAAAAAAAAGCTTTTTACTCTCTATCCATCTCATACCTATAACAAAGCATCCAAGGAATCCTACTATAAATGACAGCTACTACCGTCAGCATTTTAACTTTTGTAATATTTTAAACTGCTATTTCAAATGTAATTTAGTATCCTTCTATAACTTCTATAACTTTATAAACATTTTATAAATATGGGTCTTCTTTCGATTTAAGTAAAAATAATCTTTCTTAATTAAACACTAAAAATGTATGTAACATTCCAATAGAAAAATAATAAACTAAGATGCTTTTGAATAAAAGCAGAGACACATATTAAGAGTGACGCATGGTTTATATTCGTAACTTACAAAACAAATGGGCAGAATAAACATTAACTCAAAAGCATGACAGCGGACTTTAACTGCACTAGAAATTTGTGCCACTACAAAGGTTAATGTTGATTTTATGTTGTTCTTTAAAGTGTTTCCTAAATTATAGTTGAAGTCTTTCAAATAAACTAATTGTATTTTTTCAAAAAAGGTAAGCTCTTAAAAAATGAGGTAAGCTTTAGAAAATGACAATACTTGAGAGTTGAAATAATTTTTAAATCATTAATAATAAACAGAGAAAGGTCTTCACATTCTACTATATTACAGATATCCTTATCTACTTCCATTTAAAGCCAAAATTTTACAAGTTTCACTTTATTAAAGAAAACAGGCTAGAAGAAAAGGGAAGTGGCACATAGTGATTTCACTTTATTTAAAAGGTCTAGATCACAAGCATACTTGTGAGTTGCTGAGAGAAAAAAAAATGAATCTTTTGCAATCTGCTTTCAGCCTAATCAGGTTCTATTATTTCAAAATTAAATACCTACAACATTAAGAGTTTTATCTAAAGTTACGTGACTTATGATTACTAAAAGTACACATATTCTTAATTCCAAGAGAATTATGCTGGAATTCTTCACTTCTTCATAACCTAAATTATTTAGTGTACTTTTACTTTTATTGCCTTTTACCTCAAAAATCCTTACCTTCTAGGAAGCACAATGGAGTAACATTTGTCATACATAAGTAGCCCCTACCAAAATCTTTTTTCTGACTACTTCTAAGTTTTAAACCAACAAAGAACCAAGACACACAGTTTACCATTACATTTCAAAGTTGTACAGTCACTATAAACTTCAAATATCAGAAAATTATTCACTTAAAACTTGAGACTGAATTTGCCTTCTTCCCCGAAAGAGTAAATTAAAAATCTTTAGAATAGTAAGTAATACGACTGTATTACATAAATACAATTTATATAAATTTTCACATAAAATTCTGAATATTTTATGGTTTTATTTTTAAAAATCTATTTCAGTTAAACCTATACTTAAATAGTTTAAGAATACTAAATATAGTTTAGAAAATTAACCAGTATTAATATTCAAGCATTTCTCCCTCATTGCTCTAAATTTTTTTGTCTAGAGAAACTCAGGTGAACTTTCTACTCATTTTACATTATACCCTCAAATGCCCACAATGCTCATTAACACTAAATGGGAGTTATGCATAAACAGACCACTTGTTAGGATTTTCGAAGGCCAACAAATATCTTGAGTATATCTTCACCTATATGGTTGGTAACTAAGCAACCATTACAAAAGTAACATAATTTCATTTTTCATTGCTGAGGAAATAATAAGAATAATTCCTAATAACATTCAGTGAAAAGCTTGAAGGGTTTTTTTTGGTGGGGGGAGGGGTGTCACTTAGCAACAAGAAGCCTACAGAGCCAAGCTTCTATTTTGATATTATAACCATAATAAAAGTACTTCTACATGTTGTATTCAGAGAGATAAAAAGTGAAATGGTTGGATTAAGACTCCGCGCTCCAATGCAGGGGGCCCGGGTTCAATCTCTGGTCAGGGAACTAGAACTAGATCCCACATGCCGCAACTAAAGGAGCCCACATGCTGCAACTAAACAATTCCCTCAGAGCTTCCCTGATGGTGCAATGGTTAAGAATCCGCCTGCCAACGCAGGGGACACGGGTTTGATCCCTGGTCCAGGAAGATCCCACATATCGGGAAGCAACTAAGCAACTACTGAGCCTACGCTCTAGAGCCTGTGAGCCGCAACTACTGAAGCCCACAAGCCTAGGGCCTGTGCTCCGCAACAAGAGAAGCCACCGCAGTGAGAAGCCCTCGTATTGCAACAAAGAGTAGCCCCCGCTAGCTGCAACTAGAGAAAGCTCGTGGGCAGCAACGAAGACCCAACGCAACCAAAAATAAAATAAATAAAATTTAAAAATAAATAAAAGATTCCCTCATGCCACAACTAAAGATCCCACATGCCACAACTAAAGATCCCGCATGCCGCAACTAAGACCCAGCGCAGCCAAATAAATAAATCAATAAATATTTTAAAAAAAGAAGAGTGAAATGGTACAACTAAGCCACCCAAGACATAGTGATATGCACCTCTTACATTAATTAAAATAAGTCCTTGAATCTCAACACCAGTATTATAACAGAAAAGGGAGGGAGGAGGAACACATAGCAAATCTTTACCTAGCTCTTTTGAACTTAATCAACCATAGCCTACTGGAAAAAGTCTGCTTAATGTATTTAAATAAATGTTTTCCTCCTCTTGTATCTGTATCCCCAGAGAAAACAGTTGCAATTCTGTGTTTTTAGTACTGTTCCATTACCCTTAGCATTAGAACTCTTAATCGTCATTACTTGAAAAAATTTTACAAAGTATTTGAAGAAAACAATGCATAAGTTCAAACGCTAAATTTGATTGCCATAAAAAATTTTTTTCTGAGGATACGTACTATAGTGATGCAAAAGTATGTGATAGGTCATCAAAATAATTCTCCATGAGTGGGGGTAAAAAAAACAAAAAAAGTTGATATACCTAGCACTTGTACTCAGTTTTCTCAAAACTGACATCTTTAAATATCTCCACAGCGGTAAGCCAGTAAAAAAGGAATCTTTTCCTAAGTAAGTCTGGCAAACTATTAAAATGCAACATGCACTAATGAATAATAAATGGGCCAAAAATGATCACTGTAGAAAATACTGTGTATTTCTTTAAAGAATAAAGAGAAATGTTTAAATGTGTAGCTCAGTGTCTGTCTTGAACAACAATTGCCCATTCATAAGCTATTCATTCAACAAATATTACTGACAGCCTATATTACTGACAGCCTTAAACTGGCAGCATTACTGATCGGCAAAACCTGAAAAATTTTGGTTTAAAAGAAGCCTAATATGCTTACCTTGGATTTGAAGATTTAAAAGACACACTTTCCTGCTCAAAATGGATAGTACACAAAAAAGCATGGCAAACAAAGTTGTCCCTAGAGACTAGCAAACATAAAAAGTTGAGTCACAAATAAATTATGGAACAGAAGACAGAAATGAATTAACTCTCTTCGGCTACCTGGGGAACAAAACCATTTTTTAGTTTGGCTGACACTAAACTCCTATATTTGGCTGCTATTTATCTATTTGTCAACCTTGTTAAAGCTGCCACTTAAGGTTAAATTCCACTGTAATTAATATCCTTCAGGGCTTCCCTGGTGGCGCAGTGGTTAAGAATCCATCTGCCAATGCAGGGGACATGGGTTCGAGCCCTGGTCCGGGAAGATCCCACATGCTGCAGAGCAACTAAGCCCGTGAGCCACAACTACTGAGCCTGTGCTCTAGAGCAACAAGAGAAGCCACCGCAATGAGAAGCCTACGCACAGCAACGAAGAGTAGCCCCCTCTCTCCGCAACTAGAGAAAGCCCGTGCACAGCAACAAAGACCCAATGCAGCCAAAAATAAATTAAAAAAAAAAAATCTTTCAGTAAAAGCATCCAAAATTAAATTCTAAGACTAAACAATGGCCTGTTTAGTTTGACACTATTTACAATGAAATTCTGTTATAATGAAAAGTATTTGGACATGTTGCTGAAATCCCATATATATACCACAGGAGCCAGGAAAAATAAATATTTTTAGCCCGGACTGATTCTGTTTTTTCAGTTCTCAAGGTATCAGTTTTCTCAAGGAGTCTTATCACATTCTAGCTACTCTGATTTTCTTTTTAAGATGCAAACCTCAGAGAGGGAGCAGTTGTTTTTATTTTTGTTTCAAGGGAAAAACTTAAAGCCAATGATGACAGCAATAAAATTCAAAAAAGGGTAAGGCACAGAATAAAAATACCCACAAAACTCTTCTCCTTTGAGAACACACTAATGATAATGAAACAACTTTGCTCTGAGGCAAACTAACAGTACACTTAAAAGAACCAATATAAAGACTTTTGACCAGAGAAATTAAGCTAAAATTTTCCCACCACCACATTTACATCTCTATCACACAACCACTGAAAGAAGACTGCTACAAAGTTTAAATTTAAAAAAATTAAAATTTAGGGCTTCCCTGGTGGCCCAGCGGTTAAGAATCCACCTGCCAGTGCAGAGGACACAGGTTCGAGCCCTGGTCCAGGCCGCGGAGCAACTAAGCCTGTTGCTCCGTGAGCCACAACTACTGAGCCTGCGCCCTGGAGCACGTACTCCGCAACAAGAGAAGCCACCACAATGAAGAGCAGCCCCTGCTCACCGCAACTAGAGAAAGCCTGCCTGCAGCAACAAAGACCCAACACAGCCAAAAATAAATTAAAATAAATTTATTTTTAAAAAAATTAAAATTTAAAAGGTTGTAATCAAAGAGGAGTTCTGTTCTCCAATTCTTTTTCTATCAAAACATATGGATACTGATCCAACTATCCATTCTCTTAGAGGGAACAGAGCAAAAAGTAGAAGAAAAAAAAGTGTTTGGCTTTGGGATTCAAAGGACATTATGAACAAATTATCTTTCTGGAATGTTAACAGTTAGGCCAGTACTAGTTAGCACAAATCCTGACCCAAAAATCATCAAGTCTTTGCAGATTACTAAATAGTATCGACTACTGCTACAAAACAAGTAACTGAGAGTTAAAGTATGTATCAAATCAGATCTGGCTTGCTGTAACAGACTTTCACCAATTAGCAATAAAACCAGTTTACATTCGATTTCTACAAATCAGCAAATCTTGAAAGGAAGGTGACCCAAACATGTGCTACATGTAAGAGGCAGGCAGAAATTTAAAAGGCACTATGGAACCTGACCGAACTCTTCAGAACTATCAAGATCATCAAAAATAAAGCAAGTCTGAGAAACTGTCACAGTCTAGAAAGTTGAAGGAAACATGACAACTAAACGTAATACGGTATCTTTGATAAGATCATAGGATAGAAAAAGGACATTAGGTAAAAATAAAAGAAAACCAAAGAAACTATCAATTTTAGGTAATACCAATGTATCAATATTGGTTCATTAGCTGTGAAAAATGTACATTTTGATGGAAGATGTTAACAATAAAAGAAATTGGGTGAGGGTTGTTATTCAGGAACTCTCTATACTATCTCTAACTTTTATGTAAATCTAAAACTATTTTAAAACAAAAAGTTACTTTTAAAAAATATACTATGGATGACACAAAGGAGATTAAGGGGGTTAAGCAAAGGCAACTCTGTACTTTTATTACTGAGTTAATAAGAAAAACTGAGAATTCTAATCTGCAAAAAGGAATGCCTCCCTCCTTCCCTCACCAACAAGAGGGGCACAATTATCACCATAATCACAAATATTTCAGTCACAAGATGTGGTAGGTGCTGAAGCAAACAGAAGGACACTGCCTGTGAAGAGCAGGCTGAAACTAAATTAACCAGCTTTTTGTTACCACCTGGGTCCTTCCGGTTCCCCTTTCCTCACTACTACACCTCCACTTGGAACTCAGGATTGCCTCCTGCAGCTGATGCCACCCCTACTGTCCAGCTGCTCTCTTCTCAGGGGAGCTTAAAAGAAGGGGATAGAGTGCCACAGATGGGAAGAAATGAAAAAGGGGTTAGCTAGAGAGACAGAGGCAGACTAATTACCCCAAAAGGGAGGCAGACGGTGTCCCTGGAGCAAACAAAAGGGCGCGACAAATATACTCTATCAGCAAAGACCTTATTATTCTCTAAGATATGTCTGATTTAGGTAAAAACATTCTAAAGTAAATGACAAGTTAAAAAAAAAAGCTAAAACATTATAAAAATACCATTGGCTACACCACCTGTTTAAAACAGTATAGGACAGACTTGGAACAGTAAATATGATTACATACAACTACTAATGTATTTTTCTTTACTGCTTCAATTGCTTTCACTCTGATAAACTCTTAGTATTCAATGGCATTCAGCAAAATCTGACAAGTAAAGCCTAATCTTCCAAAATTACTTTCATTATGTTCAAATCAATATTTTAAGGTGTCGGTATTACCATTTTTAAGAAAATATGCTAAAAAACAGTTAAACTAGAGAAGAATTTTTTTTTATATAACTGAAGTTTCAGGAGAAAACATATTTAAACACATAACATGAAACATCGAAAAAAAATACCCATATAATATTTTAATATACATCAAAACAGCTTACATTTAACTTTACTGATTTGCTTATAAAATTATTTCTCTAACTTTTCAGATTATGATCCCATGTCCCACTGTAAAAGCTAACAAGTTGGCACTGTTTCATATCAAAGACAGTCTTTGATAGACCAGTATCTAAAATAAAAGTATCACTTTCCAAGAATAAGAAAATTAACATATGCCTTCATACGTTAATAATGTAACAGTCACAAATAAAAATAATAAAGTAACTATATGCCTGGGGAAAAAAACGTAAAAGTTACAATACAAAATTTCTAGATCCTTCTACAACTGTTTACACATTCATACAGAAGACAGCAGTGGCAGAACTGACTCAAAGATGAGTTACACTTGGCTTCCAAAGTATTTTATGACTTTGTTAGGAAATGCTCCCCAATTCCATTTTTCTTAAGTTAATTAATGTAACATGCCTTCCTTGGGCCCTGTCTGCCAGAAATTCATGAGAAAGCTGGGTGGTAAAAGAATAAAGTTATTCAAGGCTTAAAAAACCTGCCATAATATGCATAATTTTAAGTAAAATAAAATAACCCCAGTGAACTAAAACATGAAGCTGAATTTTTATCTGGTTTCATACTCAACAATGTTCCACCAAAAAAATCTTAATTTTTAATACAAATGTTTTTAAGAAAAGTATTCAACATTGCTATATCGTCAGTTAGAAATAAGTTGCTTTCACCTGACAGGTCATGGTGAATAAGGTCAGCAAAACTGGGGTCTTCGCCCCACCAAAATATCCACAATTCTCTTCTTCCAGGTCTTTGATCTCGCCGCCAAACACCAAGTACATCTGCCTTAAGGCAGCGACTAAAACTGCTCAAAATGGGGTCTTCCTCTGTCACCGGAAACAGAATGGGGGCAGAAGTTGGGCCTTGCCATACATATCTTTTCCATTTAATTCCCGTCAAGTCAGCCTGAAGAAAAGAAAGCATGATTTTTTTTTTATTACTGCGTATTCACTCAAAATCAAAAGTACTCACTATTAAAGTCCCTTATTTCATTAAGACATTACAATTTTTCAACATATGCTTACGATATTAAAGTAGACTTACCAAAAAAAAAAAGTTTATTCTGATAATTCAGCAACCAAAAATTAAAGGAAAAAAACAGTTAAAAAATTAATACTGACATGTCACTGAATAGCAAGTCAATAAATGTGTCCCAAGGAGAAATAAAAGAAACTTAACAATGTTAAATATAAACATGTTCTTTAATGCTGCACACTGAGTAAACATTTACTCTCTGTCCTAAGTTCTGCTCTAATTGGTTACATTTGTTTCTTGGTGTCAAACTTATAACAAAATTAACTTTTAAAGATTCATCATTCCATGTTTATAGAAGTCACGGCTCTAATGAAATCTGATCTACATTTGAAAAAAATCTTGTTAAATCTTTACACATCCCTTTTAGGAAAAGTCAAATAGCTGCTCACAAAGAACCGTCAGATTTGTGCTAGTCTTATCTTCAAAGAACCTGATCCTAAAAGTACCAAAAATAGACTGAGTTGGAGAAGACAGAAACGTAAAACTCGTTTGTCTTATTACATCTGAAGAGATGCTGATTAATGGATATTGTACAAGAAAACATTTTATAAGGGGGAAAGGCGTTAAAGAGCTCTATTTAGCATTGTGAAAGTAATTCATCAGAGCAAATTCAATAACTCTTTAATATAACTTAAAGGTGCAAAGCCTAAGGTGCCAAAAATGAAACTGCTGATACACGACTGGCAGTTTACACTTGCCAACTAGTTGTGCTCCGCCCACTCAATTCACTTACCTATCACACACTCTCTTAATATTTCTCATAGGACTGGGAAATCGAAAAAAGAAAGTTACCGAAACTTTAAATCATTTATGAAGCTAAGCTACTATCTAACTGAAGACTGAATTTTGCAACAGTTGGTACTTTTGAAAGTCTTTATTGGATGTTCCCAGACCTGGGCCAACCTACACAATTGTCTTCCCTACATCCAGCTTCCCCTGACTTTTCAATAAAAGGAGGAGCAGCCTCCTCAAAACATTCTAAAAACGCAGGCAGAACAGACAAATATCAAAACATTTAGTACAGAACCACAGAACCTCCTCCATCAGCCCGCTCCACTCTCACACAAACATAATGTTCTAATAAAAGCAAGACGGCCAGAAATTGTCAAAATGGCAAACTCTTTTCAGAGTTTAAAAGAGAAAACATATGAAATGGCATTTACTGTTTTTTACACACAGTATGAAGTCACCCAAGGAAGAAACTAGCCCCCTACAGTTTGACTCATGAAAAAACGCAAAACGAAAAGAGTGCTTAAGTTCCGGGGTCCTGTTTACTGGGAGAAACCAAATGAGCAGAGTGAGGCAGTGGGAGAACTGGCGACAGTGGAAAGTGGGAGGAGGGGGTACATGGTCAACAAGGAGAAAAGCAACAGTTAAGCAAGAAACACAGAGGGAAATGCTAGCGTCCTGCCAGATAAGGAGCCCAAGTTGAAGACAAGACTACGGTGAGGAAAAAGGGGTCGGAAACAAGAAAAAAGGCCGACACTCCTAAAGCAGAGCCCAGGACGGCGGGGGTGGAACGCGTCCCCGGGCTGGTGCCGAGCTTGCCGCGGCGCCGGCTCCGGCTGGGCCTCTGCCGGGGACTCCGGCATCTGGATCCGACCCGGACCCCCTCCCCCACGGCCCAAGGGCGCACCTCGCGGCCCCTCCCCCACCGCCCACTCGCCGCGGCCCCCGCCCAGCACTCACCAGGCAGAAGAGGTTGCAGTGACAATCTTCTAGGCTGGCCCCGTTCGGCACGAAGGAGGAACTCATCGTCCCTCACAGCAGCCGCCGCCGGCGCCACAACCCACCATCCGCCATTACCGCCGCCTCCGACCAGAGAGAGAAACACAGACACCGGGGAGGGCGGGGGGGTGGTGGTTGGGGGGGGCGGTGGAAGAGGAGGCCGCCGGGCCGCCAGCCCTCTCCACCCACCCCCCCGCCGCCGCGAGCAGCCCCCGCCGCCCGGCCGGCACCCAGCCGCCCGGGGCCGAGGGCCGGAGGCGGGAGGGCCGCGCCGCGCTCGCCCCGCCGGCCGGACTGAGGCCGCCGCGGAGCCCGCGAACGCTCGTCCCTCTCTGGGGGACAGAGGGGATGTGTGCCCCTGCCACAAGAAAAAATAATAAATTACACAATAAATAATTAAAATCGAGTCCGAGAGGGCAGAGCCCAAGCCCCAGAGGGTTCTCCCGGGCAAAGAGGCGCCCGCAGACGGGCGGGAAGGGCGAGAACGGGGAGAGAAGCCGAGGCCCCCGGCCCGGCAGCGGCGATGTCCTTAAGCCCAGAGTCTCCTCTGTGGCGGAGGTGGTGGCGGCGCCTGCGGGCTCAGACCATTCTCTGGCTGTGTCTTCGTGTCGTCCCTGAGCCAAGCCGGACCAGCGTCCGCTCTCCTGCGGCCTCACCTCCGGGACGCCGTAGACTCCCCCATTTTGTGGGCCCAGCGGGCGGTGTTTTTCCCCCTTTAATCCGAATTCACGGGTTTTCCCTTCGCTTTAATGGCGGCCACAGGGACCAGCTCGCCCTCTCTGCTCGCCCATTGGCCGCCTGAAGGTCACATGGGCCCGGGTCTCCGTGGGGAGGAGGAGAGAGGAGGGAGCGAGGGAGGGCCGGGAAGCTTGCAGCAGAGGCGGTGAGCCCAGGGGCACAGGGTAGCCAGCTGGTGGCCACTAAAATAGCGCCATCTGCTGGGTGCCCCGGCCAGTGTGAGATGACCCGGGCCCTGGCGCTATCTTTCTCCTTGCCGGAGAATTTCCAGTACAAGAGGGTTCACATCACAAATCTGAGAATTACGTTGAAATCAGTTTGAATTCTTTGGAAGAGTAAGTGTTGCAAAAATTCCAAGCCATTCTCATTTATTCCACAAGGCCGTGGGGTGCAGAGCAAACCCCTGGGCTTGGGAGTCAGATGATCTGAGAGAGGATTCGGTCACTTGAAAGTTGTGATTTTAAGAAACATAAACGAAACAATATAGCCTGTGGTTAACAGCCTGGGAGTTAGAGCCACCCTGCCTGGGTTCGAACTTCAAGCGAATCACTTACCTCTCTGTGTCTCAGTTTACTCATCTGTGAAATGAGGAAAACATATCCCCTACCTCACAGGTTGTTGTGGTAATTGAGTTAACACAAAGTAAATCACGTAGCCCAGTGCCCGGCACAGATAAACACTGTTTGGAGTTATCTATTACTGTTGTCATCATTAGGTGTGGCTATTGTGAGGAATAAGTGAACCAGTGTATGTAAAGTGCCCACTAGAGCGTCATCTCCGTGAGAACTGGGACTTTGGTTCACCGCTGCATCTCTAGTGTCTAAAAAAGGTTCCTAGCACACAGTAGGTGCTTGATAGATGTAAATTTGCAAATGAATGAATGGTAAAAAGTAGGAGTCAAATAAAACGTTAGTTCCCTTTCCCACAAAACATTTAGTTCTTGACTGAATTACACTTCAACGTAGGAGTTCAAACATTTTTGCCAGAGGGTTTTAGCTGGGAGAGAAGGAGAGACAGAGAGGAAGGGGGAAAGGAAGGAGGGAGGAAGAAGTAAAGGTGATTCAAAAAATTGGACACATCAGTGAGTTAGGACTTTACCAATTTTTAATTTTAATTGCCTCTGTAAAATAATGATGGATTCTTATATGTCACTTCTTCAGCCACAGATTAAAAAGCTTTCCTCCTCTACCTATATAGATTCACGCATGGTGGTGAAGAGTCCAGGTCTTGAAGCCAAAGGTCTATAGAAAAAGTTCTGCCACTTGCCTATCTTGGACTTCAGAGCAAATTAATTTCTCTTACTCTCAGTTTTCTCACTGTAAAATAGTGATAATAAAAGTACTTTTCAGGACTTCCCTGGTGGTCCAGTGGTAAAGAATCCACTTTCCAATGCAGGAGACGCAGGTTTAATACCTGGTGGGGGAACTAAGATCCTACATGCCACGGGGCAACTAAGCCCACGTGCCTCAACTAGAGAGCCTGCCTGCCGCAAACTACAGAACCCTTGCGCTCTGGAGCCCACGTGCCTCAACTAGAAGCTCTCAAGCCTCAAGGAAGAGCCCACACGCCGCAACTAAGACCTACCACAGCCAAAAATTTTAAAATAAATAAATATTTTTTTAAAATAATGAAAGTACTTTTCTCCTAAAGTGTCTGCTGGATGAAACAGTGCAGGCACGGGGCTTGCCACAGTATTTACTAAATGTTAGCTATTAATATATTTTAAAAAATTATTATTGAGCACCTGACGCTCAACTGAGTGTGTTCCTGGTCTGTGCTAGGCCTGCGATACAAATATGAATAAGATACATGCATATCCCTAAAGATTCCTGAAGCAAGGCAATAAAGGAACCATTTCCCACAGAATAAGATAAAATACAGGGGCTTCCCTGGTGGCGCAGTGGTTGAGAATCTGCCTGCCAATGAAGGGGACACGGGTTCGAGCCCTGGTCTGGGAAGATTCCACATGCCGCGGAGCAACTGCGCCCATGAGCCACAACTACTGAGCCTGCGCGTCTGGAGCCTGTGCTCCGCAACGAGAGGCTGCGACAGTGAGAGGCCCGCACACCGCGATGAAGAGTGGCCCCCACTCGCCGCGACTAGAGAAAGTCCTCGCACAGAAACGAAGACCCAACACAGAAATAAATTAATTAATTAAAAAAGAGATAAAATACAATGTAGGTAATTGCTTTAATATGTATGTATCAACTATGTCACAAAAGGAGTGCTGAAGGAGGAGCACCAAAGTCAGAGCAGGCATCTCAAAGTAGGTAGCATTTGAAATCAGATTTGAAGGATAAAATGAATTCTTATAAAGCCCTTTGAAACAGTTAAATCTTATTAAACCCAAATTCAGATCCAAAGGCCACATATCAAAGTCAATTATACAACCAGGACTAATTCAATCCAGGAGCTCAAATCAACTAAGGTTCACATCCTTTCTAACTGAGTTCCCACACTGGGAGACAGCAATCTCCAGGCCCAGTAAGGTAAGAGACCCTCTGCTTGTCTCTGTTTCCCTGAGAGAATCCTCAGACCCTTGTTCCCACTGCTTTTGTCACTCTGAAAAGTCCTCCCCCACCTTTTATTTTATCTAAAACCATCCTTTTTAGAAGTCTTGCCCTCCACTGCCCACACACCCCCCCAACCTGAGCACCTTCCTCAGAGGAGGCAGATAGAATCTGCCTGAAACCCACCAGGTGGGAAGTAACATTTGATTGACTTTTCATTTGAATGTCAATCTTCTCAAAAAGAAGGGAGAGAGGGGGGCGGGGAGGCGGGAGGGAGAGGTGAAAAAGAAGAAGAGAGAGATTGAGAGAGAAAGAATTGAGAAACAAAGTGGAGGAAAGGGACACCAACTGTGAGAGGACTGGAAACATCATGGGGAAGAGAGAAAAGAGCAATGTCAGCATACAGAGAACATGTCAGTAGCCACCTACATTCTCTTAAAATGACATTTTGTGTGATTTAAAGGATAAGGGAAATAACAGTATATGTATGTTGTCAGAAGTTTGGAAGATACAGAAAAGTATAAAGATGAAAAAATTTTAAATGTATATTACCCCCCCATATGCCCATGACTTTCCATATATATATCATATATATATACATACATATATGGTTGAAGTCGTACTATATATACACTTTACTACACATATTTGTCATCTAGAATGTGTCAGTCAGGTCATGTAAGGACAAGGTACAGGATACACAAGGAGCTCATAATCTTGCTAGATATGGCACTTGGACTGTTGGACAAACTAGGATCAAAACTCCACACCATGCCTGCTAGCTCCCTAACTTCCATTTACTAATTTATAAAATGCATGTAATAATAGCACATATATGTTAGCGTTGTTGTGAAAATTAAGAGAGATAATCCAAGTAAAATAGGAGAGCCAACCAGGAATCTTAAGATGCACTGAGAGGTTGCCTTGAGTCAATAATCACCTATTGTCTTCTACTCTTTGAAACATGGATTCACTCAGTGATCTACATTTAAAACTGTTCTTTACATAGAGAATGGACTTGAGGACATGGGGAGGGGGAAGGGTAAGCTGGGACAAAGTGAGAGAGTGGCATGGACATATATACACTACCAAATGTAAAATAGATAGCTAGTGGGAAGCAGCTGCATAGCACAGGGAGATCAGCTCAGTGCTTTGTCACAACCTAGAGTGGTGGGATAAGGATGGTGGGAGGGAGATGCAAGAGGGAGGGGATATGGGGATATATGTATATGTATAGCTGGTCCAGTTTGTTATAAAGCAGAAACTAACACACCATTGTAAAAGCAATTATACTCCAATAAAGATGTTAAAAAAATAAAACTGTTCTTTAACTTCTTCATCCTTTTAAGGGCTCCATTCTGAATGGGAAAATGGAAGTGCCAGCCCTCCAGGAAGGGTGACAGACTTACATCACCCGAGACTGAGAAAGTCCAGGAAAGGGCAATGTTTGGCCTTAGGACTTATGCTCCCCCCCGATCCTGAAAAATCCCAGGGTTTAGAGCAGCTCTGTCCAGTAGAAATACAAGAGCTAAATAAATAATTTAAAAATTTTCAGTAGCCACATTAAAAGAGAGAAAAAGAAATAGGTGAAATTAATTTTAGTTATGTATTATATTTATCCCAATGTAACATAAATACTATTATTTCACACGTAGTCAAACTAAAAATTTATTATTGGGATGGTTTGCTTTTCTAACCAAAACTTTAAAATTTGCATGTACTTTCACTTATAGCACATTTCAATTTGGACTAGTCACATTTCAAGTGCCTAACAGCCACATGTGGCTAGTGGCTACTGTGTTGGATAACACAAGTCTACAGTCAAAAGCTGAAAGCTGGGCTTCCCTGGTGGCACA